GTGGCGGCGGGAGCTGCAGCGACAATGACTCCCTGGCTCGGGCTCGTCGTACTCCTGGGCAGCTGGAGTCTGGGAGACTGGGGCGCTGAGGCGTGCACATGCTCGCCCAGCCACCCCCAGGACGCCTTCTGCAACTCCGACATCGGTAAGCGCTCTCGGTTCCCCTGCCCGAGTCCCGTGCTGCAGCAAGATCTGCCGCGCTGCCCAGAATGGCAATGCGAACCCCGTTCCTTTTCTGTGCCCCATAAGCGGGACAGACGACTTGGGGCAGGGTGACCAGACTCAGTTTCCTTTGGTGGGATCTCCGACATAGCTGCAGGGGTAAACGCCTCTCACTGGAACCCCACGGTGGCCGAGTGTACCCCCTGTTGCCTTCTGCTCTCCTTTTAGGATGTGAGGTCCCTACCGGTCCTTTTGACATCTGGAGAAATTTCCTATTCCCTATTGAAGGATGCTGAGCTGGAGAAGGGTGGAGACAAAGTTTCTAAAACCCCTAATGCTAACCAAAGCGCTAGGATACTGAATAGTTAAAGAAAAAAGTTGCCAGCCATGTGTTGGGAAAGTTGCAGAAGAAACTTGAAGTTTTCTGAGTTTGCATCGTCTCCGCCTTATGAAATTCATGCGTTTCATTGAGACCCAGCGCAGCCCCAGGCTTCCCAGGAGGGTGCTAACCAGAGCTTCTTGAACTGCCACGTTTGGGTGGATTTAAGGAGAGAAATGAGAAAGCGGTGGCGTTGGCTCTCCCCCTGGAGGAACTGTATTTGAGAGTGTTGATAGCAAGCAGGAGGTAGCCTGTGTGAGGGATCACTTATCACATAGCTGTGAAAATTCACAGGAAGGCTATTTTTTTTTCCTTGAATATGTGTGGGGAGGGGGAAGAATGAGCAGTGGAAAATAGATTTGTCACCAAAAGAACAAAAATGCCAAGGGTCACACATGCCAGAGTGACAGCTCCAAACTGGGTTCAGCATTTTGAGTCGAAAGACCTGGCAAGAAGGAAAGCCAGTTTTTAGGGAGGACCTTAACAGTGTCCTGGGGGAAGTTTTCGGGAGTATTCTCGACACTCGTGTTTGGGTGGCCAGAGGTGGGGTGGCAGCTAGAAAACATCTCTCCCCGTTTCCAGCTCCTGAATGTGTCCAGTGGCCTGCCCTCTCCGTGTGTGTGTGTGTGTGTGTGTGTGTGTGTGTGCATGCGGAGCTGTGCGCCATGGGCTGGGACAGTCTAGCCGCCCTCTGCTTGGATCGATTCAGAGGTGAAGAATGGAGCGTGTGTGTTTTAAGTACAGTCATAAAGGGGAAGGAAAATTTCCACTGGGTCTTGGGTGAGGGACTGCACAAGTGTGTTGCGGTGAGGAGAGGGAGGAGGCAGGAACTTGGCAGGGGAGGAGTTGGGAGGGATGCTGCCCATGAGCCAAGCCGAGCAGAGAAGTCAGAGAGGTGGCTGCGGTGACCAGGTCAGTCCTGTGGCAGCCCAGGGTATTTGTGTGACCTGGGGTCAGAGCAACCTTCCCTCTCAGGGGAACCTAGCTGGTCCCTGGATTGTCTGTGGATTGCTCGGAAAGACTCTTTTGGGCTACCTGAGGCTGGGGAAGGTTTTCTCCCGATTCCACTTGGCCTTTCCCTCCTCCCCCTAGCTGGTAACATTCCCACCTGATTACTGTTCAGGGTGGTGCTGAGGGCCAGGAGGCCAGCAGTTGGGATCAGGGTGTGCAAGCTCACAGCCTACTAAGTGCTCTTCTGCTGGAAAACACGGGCAGGGTGTTCATTTGTTGTATGTGGTGGAGGGGGACCTCATCCCTGTCCCTTGCCCTTGACTTTGGGGTTCTTACCCTGGAAGTTTTAGGGAAAAGCAGAAACAGAAGCAAGCAGATCCTGCTTCCAGTCAGGGCCCTCCAACTGTGTTGGCCGCTTCAGTTTTCACTTAGGTTTCCTACTGTGGGTCTGGGCTAATGCAGAACGTTTCTTGACAATTCTCTGGGTTTATTCAAGGAATACCTCCTTCTCTCCCTCTGCACCTTAGTAAACGACTCAGAGAAAAAAGCTAGGTTACCAGAAAGGGTCCAAAGACCAGAGCATTGCGGTGGCAAAAATAAAAAATAGATGAGGAATCTTCGATGCTCTGGCGCAGTTCCCAACCTGCGCTGCCTCGGTGTGGTACGCTGTGCTAGTGGCAGGGATGAGCTAATGCTTTTAAAAAGGGGAGGTGTGGGTGTGAGCTGTTTGCTTTCTGACCTCCCACCGCCTTCAAGAGCACCCTGCCTGTGTCCAGTAGGTGGCTCCCAATTTTCCTCGCTCAAAGCCTTTCTGGTTTCCAACTGGGGTTGAAGTTTGGCCTGTTCTTCCCTGAAGGAAAAGTGCAGGAGCTCCCCCCTCCCCCGAACCCCTGAACCTCACCCACTGGAGCTGTGGTCCACTAAAGGGGCTCATGCCAGCCCAACAACTTACCCTTCCAGAACCTTCCTGGTTGTTTTTTCTTCCTGGCTGGGTGCCATGTTGCCTGGCAATGCATGCCTGGCTTGGCTCTCCCTTGGGGCTCCCCTCTTGGCCTCCCCTCCTCTCACTCGGCATCCACAGGTGTCTCTTGGCCTCCCCTCCTCTCACTCGGCATCCACAGGTGTCTCTTGGCCTCCCCTCCGCTCACTCGGCATCCACAGGTGTCTCTTGGCTTCCCCTCCTCTCACTCGGCATCCACAGGTGTCTCTTCCTGCCTTTCTTCCCCAAGGCCATAGACTGGCACTGCCTTCTGGATGAAGAGGAGTTAAAAGGTGTTTCTATGGCAACTCCGGGCCCTGCACCCTATGGAAGTGTTTAGGAGAAGAATAAACTACATGCGGCTTATAAAACACACTGTGGGGGAAAGAAAGGGGCTTGGCAGCCGTCAGGATGCTGGCGGCCCCCCTTCCCACCAGCCCTTGCCCCTGAAACTCCTGACAAAATCTTGACTCTGGAGAAGGAAAAGGGAGGGGGCTGGGAATGAAGAAGGCAGCCTCGGCTGGGCAGATCCTGCTCTGGCAGCTCCGTCCAGCTCAGGAAGGAGTGGGTTGTGCCAAGAACTTTCTGAAAATTGGGGTGTGTGTGTGTGGTTTCTGCAAAGTTGGGGCGGGGAGCAGAGAGAGAATTCTGCTTCAGAATGCCAAACCCTTCTCTCCAGCCCCCTTTCCATGGGTGAATGGGGCTTTGATTTGGGGTATTGGGGGCCTGCCCTGAGCCTGTGGGGAAGTTGAGAGTAGACTCAGCTTGGGGGCCTGCTGCCAGCCCTGGAGGACGGCCCTGGGATAGCTCTGAATTGTTTATACAGGGGCCCATGCCAGCGGATTCCTTCAGTATCAGATCTGAGGCTGTGGTTTGAGCAGAGAAATCATTTTCAAAGAAACAAGATCCATTCTCTTTTCACTCTCACACATATGTACACCTCAGCACTGGGCTTTGTTTCTTCAGGAAAATAAAAAGGTTCAACTTCAGAGAAGAGCCAGTCACTTGATGAGTGTTAAGAAGGGGGGAGGGGGGAACCGGCAGTTAGCGTAATGGCTATGTCTCTGGACTCCCACGTAGTCAACTGCAGTTCGTGTCCCGGACCCAGTGGCTTAAAACTCACGCCGGGTGCGTGTGCGTGCGTGCCCAAGATCCCGAGAGGAGAATGGAGGAGAAGGGATTGTGGCATGACCATCTCCCCTGGGTCGTGATTTCTCACTTTCTATCTCTATGTCTCTCTCTGTCTGGTGAGTGCATGCGCCCTATAGCGAAAACCTCTCCAAAAAAAAAAAAAAAAAGAAGGGGGGAGGGGACAGACACAGGCCATAGACATCTTGGGAACCATGGAAAAGGGAGAGCCACTGTTAAGGTGTCAGAGGGAATGGACAGCTCTCTGAGCCCTACTGATACAAATCCTTCACCGATGCTGCCTCTTTCATATACCCAACAATCTGATGAGCAGACATTATACCCATTTTTCAGATGGAAAATACTGAGGCTCAAAGAGGTTGTGTTTGCCAAAGTTCACCCACTACCCAATCTGAAAAGTAGGTATTGTGTCCATTTTTGAGATAGGAAACACTGAGGCTGAGAAAGGTTGTGCTCGCCCAAGGCCACCCAGCGCCACCCAGCAACTAAGTGGTGAGGCTAGAATTTATTCTTAGTAATGCCATTCTTCAAGCATTTGTCAACACTCATGGACCCATATATTCCAAGGCAGACAGCCATTCTAGAATTAAGATGGCTAACATTTGAAGAATACTTCACTTATTGATCGGAGAAGTTTTCTTTAAGAATATAGAGACAACCAAAATGGCCAGAGGTTTTGACTAAATATCATCTTTAGGGAGAGCACACTTACTTTTATCACCATCATTATTTGGGGGTGAGAAAAACAAAGGAAAATGTCTAAGGTTCTTAGTTTATTAGAAATGGAAAAGACCCTCAAAATCATCAAGCCAAAGTGAAACAATGACTCATTTTGTCCAAGGAGAAGTACAGCTCATAGAGACAAGATTTCTCAGGTGTCACGACTCTTTCCTTTCTAGATAGGGGTGCATTGGGCTTCCCCGCTGAGAGCCGCCTACACTATGTAGTGGTGGGAGGACAGCTGGGGAGGAGGTCAGAGAACTGGGCCCTGGCTGGAGAAGCTGTCTCTCTGACAGCTGTGTCCCTTTCACAGCCCCTGGGTAGATAAGACTAGAAAAGTGGCCATGGAAGTGGCTTGGGTGGAGGGATTTTTGTTTGTTTTGCAGGAACAGCAGGAACCATTCAGCTCTACTGCTGAATGGCACATTCCAACAGGTTCATTAATTAAAAACAAAAACAACAACACAATTCTCCATTGCCTTTGGCTTTTACCATTCCAGCCAGGATGGATGAGGAGGCCCCTTCTTCCAGCTTTTGTCATAGTCGACTCCTGGGTGGCCTGGAGAGGCAGTGCTGGGTGGTGGGAGGCCATGGAGAGGGCAGATCTGGGCTCAACTCCTTCCTCTGCTCTCGTTGGCTGTGTGTGCTTAGGCCCCTTATTGGATGTCCTTAAGCTTTAGCTTCCTCATTTATAAAAGGGGATAATAATTCATATCATCTCAGTACTTTTAAAGCTATGACTATTATATGAATACATTTTATGTTCATTATGTATATATCTGCACATGTCTCCCTCCATTTATAC